GAAAAGGGTTTTCCCTTTCCCACCCTGCTGAAACTTTCCCCCTCTGTGCTTTATATAAAGTGCTCAGGTCAGAGGCAGGCAGTACTGTGGGGGGAGATTTTGGTGCTCACTCTGTAACCCCTGAACAGCATCATAAGGCCCCTGTTCCAGACTGGCCAAGGGATCAGTGGTGGTTTGTGGCCACTGAGACCAGTAGGGCAGAAGACAGGGAGAGCAGAGCCAATGATAGATGGAGTGAACGACTTCTACTTCTGTCCGCATTCTCCTTCCTGAGTTCTACAAGGACCACTGGCGAAGGAACTGGGGGGTGGGTGGTGCGGGGCGGGGGACACACACCACCCTTGGCACCAATGGGGGGTATCATCGCAGCCACCCCTGGACATGCGGTGCGTGCACCTCCACCATGCCGGGCACCATGCCCCCGTGGGTGGTGCGCCACACCCCCAGGATGCACACCAGCCATGCCCCCGCCTGCTCTCCGCCCCCGGTGCTGGAGCATGCAGCTTCGCCACTGACAAGGACAACTTTGAGACTAAGGATAAGGCAACCGCCATGCAGTGCCACCTCATGGACTGGTTGCAAGGAAGAAGGCAGGCAGGTAGGGGATGGCTGAGGCCAAGGCTTGTCAGGCATGGTGCAGGTGCCCCCTTTGTCATCATAGAGTAGCCTTCACCGCCTTCACCACATCACTTGGTTTCAGATCCCCATTTTCTTAGCTTCTTGCTATGCTTTCTTCCCAAGATTACTCTCGTCGGCGACAAGAGTTGCATCCTGGCCTGTATAAGAGTAAAATATTTATGTACTGCTGTCTTTTTACTATGATCATTGTGACGTTGTTGGAATTGTTCTGTCCTGTCAACCCTGCTATGTTTGTCAGCTCTGTTGTTTAGGTGTCAGCGGTAGTTCTTATATTGAAACAGTTCATGCCAGAGTGGAGGAAAATACGTTGGCTTGCAACATGATGGAAATGAGCAACAGGACCTTCAATAAATAGGTTTGCATTTCAGCTCAGAACTAAGCAATTAGATTTTTCAATAACACTCTTGGCGGAGTTAATGGATATCTGCTAGAGGCGACGGAAACAGATTATTTGTATTGAATTTATAGGAACATGGAGCCGGAAGTAGGACTGCAAGGCTTAGTCAATCAGTTGGAGTGATCAATTAAAAATGTTTCGATCAATTAAAAAGGTGGCCATGTTTACTCAAGGGCACAGACTTTTAAAAAATGTTTGTAAATGCAAGGGCTTCTTTTTCAAAAGCACCACAAGGTGCCAGATGGCTGCCATTTTAGAAAGGACATTCTCCCTTATCTCCAAGGCAGACATGGACAGCAGATGGCAAGTGCAATAATAGCTGAGGCACTTCCTTCTAGGGAGCAGGTGTGGTGTGGGGAGACTTCTGGGGGTCAGACAGAGAGGCCTGGGAGCCCCACCCCTGCTTTATAGTAAGTAAGTCTCACCATCTACCACAAAGGATTTAAGAATTATGGAGGAAGAGAGTTTAAGTGGCATTCGTAATATTTGCAAGATTACAAATGAGCCACAGAGACTGGATTACAAGAAACAAACTTTACTTATTTGTGTGCTGCTACCAAATGATATACAAAACTTGGAGCTAGCCAGCTCTTCTTGGCTTCCTTTCCCTGCTAGTATCACCCAGAACTGATTCCCCCTACCTTCATGCATTTCTAAATCACGTTAGTTCCTGCTCCCATTACAGCATTTGTTGGTGTGCTTCAGAGGGACTAGCACAGTTGTCAAGGGGAACACTCCTACCCCACCCTGGCCAAATCACCATTTTCCCTTTCTTTTCAGGGCAAAATGAAGAGACTTGTACCAGAGATTCCCTGTGAATCTAAAACTGGAGATTAAAATAGGATTGAATCATGAACCTTTTCTATGCTCTACTGCAGGCATGTCCAACAGGTCGATCGCTATCTACCGGTCAATTGCGGGGGTGCCTGTGGTTATTGCGGGTCGACCCCCCAAAAAAACTTTGGTGACTGCCCCCCCAAAAAGCTCGACAACTCTCGGCAATGGTTAGATCACTGCCAGTTTTTTTTATACTGGGAGTAGATCGCAGTAGCTTGGAAGTTGGATGTGCCTGCTCTACTGCATGGCTGTTCCCATATATCCTCTTGCTACTTTTAAACATCACCCTTAATTTGGAAGCAGAACTGCATGTCAAGAAAATTTTGCAGCAAGAGAATCCAAATTTGATTTCAAATTTTTTTTGAGGTGTGTGTATTGGGAAAGGAGCAATGTAAGGAACAATGTCTGTTCTTTACAAATGAAAAGATGTTAATGATTTCCATTGCAGTCTAAGACATTTCTGCAGTGTAGCAACCAACCTATTTCTTAAGACTTTCTGATGGCGGTTGAACTATCCCTTCAGTTCTCAAATATTAAATCTGCATTTGATCATCTGCACCTCAAAATCCTCACCCAATATTTTTAGAAAATGTTCCTATTTGCACAGTTGAATATAAACTCCCTACTTTAGGCATGCACTCCATGTTCAAGGCTTTGTCCTGCCAAAAAAACCCTACACATTCATTTTAATAATATTCGTGCAAGAGCTTTCCATGAACCCCCACTGGGGGGAAAAAGATGGCCCTTGGCAAGAGTTGATTGTGTCAAATTGTGTCCTGTATTAGCATTTAAGGTGAAGAGAAGATTCAAAATGCCTTTGCTAATTTTATCTTACTTCCTCATTTAAAAATACACTAAGTTTAAACAGTTTTCCTTAAAAAAAAGATAACACACACAGCAAGAGCACATATGCCTGACATTTTGAGTTACTAATGTTGAGGTTCATTATATACCCTTCAGGGTTATCTCCCCCAGATTTTAATGAAGCAGCAACATTTGGGTTGGTGTCTACCACAATGTTAGTACTGTATATCTATTTTGCAGACTCCATGAAAGTTCTGAAACTTGTTTTGTGGAAATGTGCTTTTAATAAAAGGAAATGGAAGTGTGTGTTCGTGTATATATCAGCTTTTGATGCAAAATATAAATTGGATTTGGGAAAGAAAAGAGACCCCTTTAAGCCCTCACTTCTCCCCTATTAAGATTTTTTACTTGTAACTTGGCCTCTTTTAAACTCCCATCTCGTGAATACTCGCTTCTAATCTGATACCTCAGTGTACATATCTAAACATGATCAGTGACAGTTTTAGCTGCGGGGTGAGACTTTCTGTGACAAGGGCAGTGAGCTCTGATTGGAGACCATTCATTGCAAGTGACTTCAGCTGTCTCTTCAACTGACACTTGGTGACTTGAGGAAGGAGGGATGACGAAAGCTTTTTGGACAGAAAACTTCCACTGACAAGAACGTGACAGCTCCTTCCACAGCTGGTTTCTGATATGCGTTGCAAGGGGCCCACACAGTTGCTAATTTAAGTCGGAGCGGTGCTGTGCAGTCGTGGTGCAAACAAGTTCTTGTAGATTTGTAGCTCATCTGCGAGGAATGGCAGAGGAAAGGAGGTCCCTTGATGGGGCTACTGCAGGTCCATCGCATTCTCGATAGGCCATGTTTATTTAAAGCAAGGTAAACTGAACCTCAAGCAATTCCTAGGTCTCATTAAGTCTTAGTATGTAGCTGACTATAGTGTATTTGGTTTATTCAAAGCAACTTTCCCCCCCTCCCAGAGCCTGACTAGTCCAGTAACAGTATCCTTGGCCTCCAGATATAACTGTCAGGAACCAGACTGACAGGTGGATTTGACTCAGAAGCAGTCTGGAGGCTTGCCAGCAAGTTGGGGCATTATGACCCTCCTCCATTTAAGGGATAAAGTGGCTTCCAGAGATGAAGTGAGTCTGGGCCACTAAACTACACATTATAAGTAAGCCCATTTCATGGTAAACTATGGTAGTCCAGAGAGAAAAGTCCTGACAGCATTTTACTGAGCAAGCTGAACAAAAGCAGTGTAGAATTTGAGGAGAAAAGAAGAGAGGAGTTTTGTCTTTCTTAAGTCAGTACTGCGTAGCAGGAAGGCATTCAACCAAACGTACACAGAGCGCATGCTACCTCAGTACACATCACAACACACTCGCTTGCTGCGAAGCAACACTTGCCCCTTGGTAAGCTGACTTCCTGATAACAGAATTAACCCTTAATTTGCAAACCCAATGATCCTTGCTGCTGCACTTCCCCAGAGTGACGATATCAAGTTATTTATGGAACCTATAAATATCCAGGTGGATATTATGACACCTACTGTCTGAGCTGGTGTTGCACAATGTCTAGGAGACTGAGCTACAAGTCAAAAGCCCCTTTGAAATTCCCCCCTCTTGAATATTAGACTGTTGCCAGCTCTTTGCCTTTTCAGCACCTACTGACCTTCCTCTTTCACCAAGCCTTTCAAGTGGAGATCTTTCCCAGTCTGCAAGTGTACTGGAATAGCTTTTAGATGTTTCCATCGCTTTATCATTTGTGTGCTTGCCACCTGGGGCTCCTTTGGGGGGGAGGGAAGGGTGAGATATAAATTTAACAAATAAATGATGAAACAAATAATTATCCCTTTTCTTTATTTCTTTATCCACTTCATGTATCTGATGAAGGAGTCTTTGCTCAGCAACAAATGAGTCAACTGAGGTGCTCTTGATCCCTGTGTTTTTGTTTTGTTGGTTTTGTTGTAATGGACTAATGCAGCTTACTGTATCAGAATCTCTGAGCAGGACAAACTCAGTTCCTGGGGTGCAAATGAATCCAAGGCAATTAATATAATGGTTGAGGAGGCTTGCTCATTCCCACAGTGCTTTTCTCAACTCCGCAATGGCATCCAGTTAGATAATTTGCCCACGAGGCAAATTTGAGTTCACCTCTCATCGTCATCTGTCTATGTGCTGTTTACTCTCTGCAAGAGAGACAGAGAGACTAGATCAGTCTTTCAACAATACTGCAAGGACAGAAACCAGAGCAGGAGATTTTAATAAGGCTGTGGAAGAGCAACAAGCTACCCTTCTGTACATTACACAGGTGGGACAGACTTGGCGGGGTGAGAATTCGCTTGGAGAGGTAAGATTCAAACCTTCCCCAGAGAAATAACTTTGCTTCTTTTGTCTTTTTTGATTATAATCTGCCAACTCCAAATAAAATTAAGACTTTATGTGTGTGCAAAACTATGGTTAGCTTCATTTTCTGGGTCTTCCTCAATTGAAGATAAGGGGGGGAAATATGAAGTGTATCTTCCAATAAGATTTTTTTTTACATTTTCCTCCAAAAGTCAGAAGTAAAGCTCACATAGATCCTATTTAATGCTAAACTTAAAAAAAAAAGTTTTGAAATAGATCTATACAAATGCTTTTGAGATAACAATGGTGGAATGAATTTGAAGCTGTAATTTTTTTGGGATGTGCATGGAAAAGCCCTGTCCCTGGTGCTGTGTTCTGTTCCACTTCAGCATAGCTAGTGTCAAACTGCCGGTGAATATGTAGCAAACTTTTACAGCAGCCAAAGAAAACATCTGGTTTTAGGCAGGCTCTGGCTTTCTTTCTTAAAGCAAGAGAGCTGCATAGATCAGTACCTTGCCTTGTCTAATTCCATTAATGTGATCTCTTGTCCATCCCGTGGCAGTTTAATGGGCGTTATTTGTGGTCCTCCATCAAATAAAGCCATAGCCATAAATCCCACGTCACGTAAATGAAGGTATAAACGTCAATCTGCATTACCGAATAATATTTATGATTTTAATTAAATGAAACTCACTGTGACATTTATTAGATCACAAGTTACATGTTAATGGCAACAAAATGACTTGGGCTGATATGAGTATCTCTTAGAAATGCTCTTAATAATGAATGTGTTGTGGGTGGGTGGAGGGCCAGTTCAAAATAACACAATAATATCGGGTGTGTTTGATGCAAGAAGAACATTGAATCTAACCTTGGTTGGTGGTTCATCTACCTAAAATGCATTGTAATGAATGGGGCCTGCATAACAGCATCTTGCTAGCCATGGAACCAACAACATTCAGTCAAGATGCTGAAGGCTTGTCTGTTTCCTTGGTTTCAGGAAGGGTCTGCAGTGGAACTTGGAGCTCTAAGGCATCGCTGGGGAACCTTTTTTGGTCCCTTCCAGGCAACCCTCCAGGGGTGACAGTCAGAGGTAAAAGCGGGTAGAGCAACAAATGTAAATTTTACCTTTGGTGCAGTAAGTTAGTCTCTCTGTGCAGTCATACGCTCATCTCTACCCTCTGTCTAGAAAAGCAAAATACATTATCAGCCTTCAAGGATGCATTAAGGGGTGTGGCCTGCAGTGGGGAAATGACCTAGGGAGAGTCCTGAGGGCTAGATAGAGGGACCTGGAGGCTGCATTTGTCCCTCAGGCCCAAGGTTCTCTACCCTGCATCAAAACAGCTGTTGCTTCAGCAGTGAAGTGCCTCCTGTTGAGAACTTAAATGGGAGCTGCAGGCTCCATCCCTTCCTGGCTCTCAGGCAGGCCTTGATCCAGGCAAGGTGCTTGTACACAGTTACACCACCTCCCAAGTAGCTTCATGTGCAGCTATTATTTCATTATATTTATTAGTTGCCTTTCTCACAAAAATGGCCTAAAGTGACTTAACGTTAAAAATACAAGGGGAAAATACTGGAAACCTGTTGCCACCTTGTAAGCTAAGGAAGGTAAGCAGCACTCCTTTCCTGTGAATGTTTAATGCATTTCTGCACCCCACTTGTTTCCTGTAGGGTTTCATTTCATAACTGCAGTTGCTACCCAATGGTATGTATTTGACACAGCTCTAATTTTAATTGACTTGTTTTTAATTTTCCATTCTTTGATATGGGGCAATGAATCCAGTCATTTCAGCTGCTCTCATTTTATTTGCAACCCTGATATTGAAACTACTGGGCAGATTTTTAATGGCTGAAATCCTTGTCTTGGCAAAATGTACAGTGTTTTAATGAGTTTAGGAGGGGCAGTTTGGCAGAACGGCCATTACTTAGGTTTCAAAGAATAAGATTTTTATCAAAATCTCGAATTTCTCTAAGCTATTCCCTGAAGTTCAGAATACTTCCATGGAGTCAAGGAAAGTTCAAGAACGTGCCTCTCACTACTGTGGTTACAAAAGAAATATAACAGCATGTGGAAAAAAGATCCATGCATTCATTTAGGAACCAGCACACCTGAGTGGAATTGTCTAGGTTTTTGTTAACAAAGCACACTGACCTTGTTTCTGTTGCCTCTTGAATTGGTGGCAAACATTGCACGAGCATCTGCTGGGACCTAGTGTAGCACATAAAAGACGTCCAGACTTTTTTTGTTCCTGGAGAATTTCACTCTGTTACTTGTTCGATAAGGCTTAGGGGATACTCTCTACAGTATTATTTGAAAACCTATGCAATACAAAGACGTCTTTTTTGCTTTCCAGCTCTGTTGAAGATGTCAAAGTACCTTTTTAAAAAAATGTGTATATATCAGAAATTTGGTAAATGTTAACATTTACTGGTTATTCACAAAATTTAGGCACAGCAGAACTTATCAGAAGTCTTTGTGCCATAAATAATGTGCTTTTTGACATTTATACCATGGGAAATGTTCTTTGCTAGGAAATGGAAATGGAAATGACTTTGGGATGATATTTACTGGAGCAATCAGCTGCCTCAGAAATTACTGGTATTTACCAGTAACTGTCAGAAAATTTTAACAGGCTTTCTCTCCCTACCTTTAAACTTCTTCTTGCATATGCAATATAAATAATACAGTCAAACATTAAGTAAGTTTGTAAGTAGTTTAGAACTGATTGCCCCAGTTAGATGTTTTCTAATCTGTCTCATAACAGATTGTCCCAGAGTAAGCTGTGAGTAGCTGATGGTAAGGGAACAACATTGTTCTTTCCAGTGTACTGAATAAACATGTACCATAAAGTTTCAAAACTGTCTTTGGTCTTTGTTTTCCTGAGCCTATTCAAATTCTAAGACGTACAAGTGTCAATATTGTACAAGTTTCTCACATTTTATGTAACTAGCACACACACATACGTGCACACACACACATACCCGCTGCCAAATCTCGAGCCAAAAAAGAATACAGCCCAAGCTGCTGCCAGCCCAAGCCAGGGAAAGAGGTGCACCCGAGCTCGAAAAACCCAGACGTTTCCTTTAAAATGTAAGAATCCTCCTGGATGGCCATGTTGGCCCCGCAAAAGAGGACATATCTGGGTTTTCCCAAACATATGGCAACAAACCAGCCAACATACATACACACATTCATAGAGAGGTATTTGCTCTTCTTAAAATAAAATAAATAACTCTATACAATGTGTTGTCAATTTTGCTGCTAGAGATGTCCACACCCAGTCCCGGTAACATGATGAGGAATGACGGATGAGATCCAGACAGCCAAATGAGGCAGGCCACCTGAGAGATGCTTTGCTTGTAACAGAAAGAATGGAAGTGGTATGTGCACTCAACATTTAGAAAAATGGTACCTAAGTCATTCTCCATTTATTGTCGCTTGTTTATAATGTACAAAAAAACCTCCAAGATCGTTAAGGCATTCAATTCCAGACTGGCTATTTTCTGAAAGAGATCATGTACAGTGGTGCCCCGCAAGACGAATGCCTCGCAAGACGGAAAAACCACTAGACGAAAGGGTTTTCCGTTTTGAAGTTGCTTCGCAGGACGAATTCCCCTATGGGCTTGCTTCGCAAGACGAAAATATCTTGCGAGTCTTTAGATGTTTTTCGCTTTCCCCCTTTATCTAATCTGCTAAGCCTTTAATAGCCTTTAATAGCCTTTTAGCAGCTAATCCCCTAAGCCTTTAAGCCTTTAATAGCCGCTAAACCGCTAATAGCGCTAATAGCGCTAATCCGTCAATGGGCTTGCTTCGCAAGACGAAAAAACCGCTAGACGAAGACTCTCGCGGAATGGATTAATTTCGTCTTGCGAGGCACCACTGTAGTTCCATAAAGGGAGTGGAATATACAATGAATTGTCCATTCCCTAGCCAGAATCTACACCTAGCAACCCTATTTAGATGGAAGTCACTCATGCAAATATGCAATAATTATTTTTGTCAGACTGGGCTGCTTAAGATCTCATTAAGAACTGAGCTCCATAGGCAAAGCCTGTGGGGATTTCAAAAAAGACTGCTTCTCACTTTCCGTCTTCTGGTTTGCCTTTGTCCATGGCTGGAAGCTTCCTGGATCAGTGCAAAGCAAAGGAATGCCTTTGGATGGGAAGTCTGTGTTTGAATTCAGCATGCCTGAGTGGCCAGGGGTTCAGCAAGGCTATCATGTGTATTTGGCTTATTAAAAACCTACAGATCTCAACTGAGCCCAAAAATTCAAGTGTGCAATGTGGAATTGCTGTAAGGGAGCGTTTAAATGGCCAAATCAGCCTCATTCAGATAAATGGGGTTTTGTGGTCATGACCTTTTTATAGTGACAACCTGACACTAATTTTGAAGGATCATATATTTATGTCAGCTGTCGTTGGAGGGCATGCAGTGTGACTGCAAGTAGGTCTGCACGTTCCAAGACTATACTTTGAGTTTTAACATGCTGTTACAAATGTTAGAGGAGGCTCCCCCTCTTAAATTTTATATATATATATATATATATATATATATATATATTCACCAGCTTGACAGTTTTTCAAACATATTCACTGTCAGCCCTAACAACCTGTCAACAACTGCCGTTATGTGAAAATTGCAGAAGCTGGTTTGAGCACTGTGAAAAGTGACATCCATGCCACAAGGATAAAGTTCCTCAGAAATGGAAGGCGAAAACTTTTGAAAGGTGCTGTAGCCCTTCCAAGTCAAAATGAACAGTCAGATATCTGGGGAAAAACATACAGTTGTCACATCTGATATCTATTTCCCCCTTCCCCTCCCTCAAATTGAGGTGTATGGAAAAGAACATAGATTAGGACAGAATATTGTGGGTAACTGTTTTGCTGCTCCTGATTTGCAATCTCCTCTCTCTCTCTCTCTCTCTCTCTCTCTCTCTCTCTCTCTCTCTCCTTCCTTCTCAGCAGGCTTCTTGGGTGTTCCTTCAATTAAAGCCCAGGGGAAGACATTATGAGGTAACTCCTCCCACAAGGCTTTTTTAGATCAGGAAGTGTAGGCAGCCAGGCAGGCTGCAAAACACAGGTGACATGCTTAGACAAAATACACACCATTCTTGGCCACCCGGCAATCATAAAGTATGCTCAAAACTCTATATCCAACACAACACTGGATAAATTCTGAAGTGTCCTGTGAGTGAGGCAGAAAAATGGGTGCCTCTTCCACAAAGGAAGAGAGCTTTCGGAACAACACCAGATGTTATGGGAAGACAGAAAAATATGGATGGAATGGACTAGAGACTCCAGATCTCATTTTCCCTCTGGATAGTCATTCAAAGTCAGGGGTGGGGTACCTCAGGCTTGGAGGCTGAATGTGTCAGAAATTAATGTGCAGCCCAAAAGAATCCCTAATATGCCCAACACCAGGACCAAATACTCCACCCCTGTACCCAGTTGAACAGGAAGCAAAAGGCTGAATTTCCTCCATGACCCCTTGGGTCTGCTCTTGCACTGCATAGAAAACTCAGGTGGGCATAACTGGTAAATATAAACCCTTCCCTATCCCTACACCCAGGTCTTGGTAATGCAAGCCAGGTCAGCTCATCCAAGATAAAATCATGACCCAGGAAACTCTTATTTTAAACTGACCTGGCATTCAGAAGCTGCACCTACAGACTCAAGGGCTGGCAGGTAGAGTAACTTCTATGTCCCTGGCAAGGGGAGGATCCAAGACAGGGCACAGAGTGCAATTGAACAAAGACGTGATCCAGTTGGAAGATTGAATGCCAAGCTTGGACTCTCTTTGTGGGACAGTCATATGTAGTGCAACTAGAACACCAAAGAGCCCAAATCTGCACAGATGTATGCTAGAAGCTTTGAAACACTCCAATTATCTAGCTAGTCCTCTCTCTCATTTTGCAGCATGAGTCTCCTAATCCCTCTGTGGAGTTCAGGTGACAGGCAAGGCTTGTCTGCCTTAACTAGTCATGCATTGACACTGAGCGTACTTGATCTGGGGCTGGTAGTTTGCTTCAAACATTGTTCACGCAAATGGGTCTGGCAGCTGGGAAAGTACAGGGGTGTGTGTAAAAATGCATGCCTAGCGATCCCGACTTCTCTCTCTTCAGAACAGATCTGCCGTGCTGTTCCTGCTGGCTGTTTGAAGAGCCTTGACTTTGAAGCCCAAAGAGAAATTCATTTCCCAGGCTTTGCAATTCATTGAAAGATGAGGCTGATGACCACAGAAAGGGTCAATCAGATTAGCCCTTGATGACCCCTGTGTTTGTGTCTTTAATGGGCGTCTTGCAAAATGATATTTCCAGTTTTTAATGCTGTGCCTCGTATGTGAGATCATACAGGATATTAGTTTTGATTGTCTGGTGCCACAAGGATTGCAATTGATTCCCCCCCCCCCAACCCCACATATCTCCTTTCTGTCTTGGCTTCCTCTGCCTTATTGCATACCTTCTAACAATATATTCATGCTAACCTCTAAGAATGTCTTACAGTACTGATCTCAATGCCACATTGGGCATATTTATTTATTTTTTTCTTCATTCAGTACGGAGGCTAATATCTTGTTGTCTTTTGTCTGAAACCACAGAGCATGAAGTCAGGAATTGTTCCGCCCTCTGACAGTTGTGATGCCTAGAGAGAGAAATGATAGTCTCTCTCTCTCTCTCTCTCTCTCTCTCTCTCTCTCTCTCTCTCTCCCTCTTATTGTGCAGATCCATTTTATTAAAAGTTCCATTAGTATTATCGTCTCCACCTTGTAATTCCAAAATACTCAGCATAGACAGGTATGCATTGTTATCCAGATCTACCCAAGGGAAGGACCATGGCTCAGTGGTAGAACATATGTTTGCATGCAGGAGGTGCCAGGTTCAATCCCTGGGAGAGATGTTGGTCGGATACCATGTGTCAAGGCTGGAGTCAGATGCAGGTCAGAATGAAGAGACAGTCAGTTGCCAGCAAAGTTAACTATTTATTCAAGGAAAAGGCATGCACCTCAGCAACACTTCCCAGCAGGTCTTGCCCCTATAGAGCAGTTGCCATGACTGAAGGTCCCTGCCTTCCACAGCTCCTAAGGCTCCTCCTCTCCCAGATGTTTCCCAAAGAGTCTCAAGTTGCATCTGTGCACCTCTGTTCTGCCCTCCTCATTATCCTGCATGTTCCTGAAGACCAGCTGGGAGGGGAACTTGTTGCAGCTGGAGAGGCAGTCGCTTGACCTCTCTCCTCTGCTTCAGCCTCAGAGTCTGAACTACTCCCTGTCCCAGGTTTCTCCTGTTTGCTAAACCCTGTTGTCCCATCAGTATCCAGCATCTCGTCCCAAGCTTCCCCCTCTGCCCTCTCCTCAGTTGTCCCATCCACAGTCTCTGAGCCTTCCTCCTCTGGGATTTCCCTTGGGGTTTCCCTGGCTGGCACTTCCCACCACTCCTTGACATCCAGCCAGGACCTGACACCATAGAGAGTGGCTGCTAGTCAGTGCAAACAGTATTCAGTTAGATCAGGAACTTTAATCCTTTCAGACCCAGGACCCACTTTTAACCTAAACATAAATTTTGGGACCTATTTCTCAATCTTTTACCATACATTTGCATCCTGTTGCAGCCCACCTTAGATGAGGCCATGAACGACTAGTGGGTCCTGACCCACCAGCTGAAGACCAGTGAACTAGATGGCCCAATGGTTTGATACTGAGCCAGCTTCCTATGTTTGGTGAAATGGCCTGAATGAGCAAATGAGACTGTTTAGTGTCAACCACAGGATCAAGATGGCTGACAATCACCTTGTAGTTTCCTTTGGAAATATGCCAAACTCACTGATCCAGTAGCCTATCTATCAATACACATGGGAAAAATTTAGGGGCACTTGGGCAGTTCAGCTTTATTAAATTCCTTAGCACCTTTGTGAAAAGTTTCTGGTCCTGCGCTAGGCAAATTAGAAGAATGATGATCAGGACTGGTTCAAGGAAATTCCACAATGCAATAAAAATAATTGGTTTAAAATAATGATCTTTGGTTCATTACTAAAGTATCTTAATGATCACTTTAGGACTTCTTTTCTTCTGTCTGTTCCTCACCACCACCTTAATCAGTAATTAATTTTAAGTACAACAAAATTAAGCCAGATTCATATCCTATCTGCAGATAATTATCCAGGCCTAACCTCACCCCTAGGATGACATTTAGTTTTTAATAGTTTTTTTCTTAGAAATAGTCACGGACTTCAATTAACTGGATGAGACAATATATAGGCAAGAATTGATTGATGACAGCAGATTGGCTCCTGTGTAGCATGGATAACTCTTTGCTCATTGTATATATAATAAAAACCGATGTCTCTCAGTCCACCCCTTTCTGCAGTGAGCAAATTGGATAGGCATTTGTGTAAGATAGAGCTAGTTTTTATTTTTTTAATGTTTCACACAGGGTAGGAGAAGGTGAAGAGCTCATAGAGCTATGTGGGGAAAGGGCTACAGCCCAGTGGTATAAAGCATCTGCTTTGCATGCAGAAGATCCTAGGTTCAATCCCTGGCATCTCCAGGGAGAGACTCTTGCCTGAAACCCTGGAGAGCCACTGCCAGTCTGTGTAGACAATACTGAGTTAGATGCCAATGGTCAGACTCAATATAAACAATGAAAGTCCCTAGAAACTAAAGCATAAAGAATTACAAGACCTGGAATAGGAAAAGGCTATATAGAATAAACTACATCTGTGAAGATACAGAAACACAAAAAACCAGCAAGTATTAATATATAAATATAATTTAATTAATAATAATACTGTTCAGGGGTTATTGACTTTGTTATGTATTTTTGTGTTTTTATATTGTAAACCACATTCAGATGAAGGGCAGTGTAGAAATTTGACTATTATTAATAATAAAGATGATGCTAAACCCTGAAGATGGCACACTGGTAGGCAAAAATGAGCTGTAATCGCTCAGTCTTTTTAAATTCAGTCTGTTTTCTCAATTGTCTTTTGAGAGAGTAGTAACATTCTTCAACTCATGAAGAGACATCCTGGCTCTTCTGGTGCTTTTCTGACCAATAAAGTGTTTTTTTCCCTTTGCAGTTGCATTTGCCATGATAAATTCTTAAGCCAAGATGAGCCATCAAGCATTTCACTCAAATATGGTAAGGTACATACACTTCTCACAAGGAAAAACAGGATGACCCTAACTCTAACCCTGTTTTTTCCCCCAGGGAGAAGCGTGTGTACAATATTTGAGTGAAATATTTGATGGTTCATCTTGACTAAAGATTTTTGATTGTAGACTCAAACCTTAATCTGTTCATTGATTTTTCTTCTTTCCCCGTCACAGTCCAAGAACCATTTCAGGTATAGCAAGAAAGGAAAGTGTAACTATCAAGAAAATGAATACCCCTTGCTCTTCAGCACACAATAAAGTTAAGTGTTTTTGACTTCTTGAATAATATATCGAATCTTTTTATTACTTTGGAAAAATCTAAATGTTACTTTCCAAAGAACAAAGCACAACATTAGCATTTTAATACACAGTGATGCATTTTTTCCCAGGGGTTTACAGAGCCTTGCCTTATGCAACTGAATCTTTGCTCAGCCTTATGATAAATTTCAAACAGGAGGCGGTAAACTGCATAATTCAGATTAATGCCTCACTTGCATTCAGATTTTTTTCCAGCACTTCACTGGAGAATGTTAAGATAACAGAATCATAGAGCTGTAGAGTTGGAGTCATCTAGTCCAACCCCCTGCAATGCAGGAATCCTGTCCACAGCCAGCCTTGGGTGGGCTCAAACTGCCAACCTTCTGGTTGACAGCCAGACACACTGACCAATAGAATGGTCTAGGACAGAAGTGAGGAACCTTTTTCAGCCCAAGGGCCTCATTCTTCTATGCACATACTTTTGGGAGGCTACACACCAGTGACTTGGCAGGGAAAGAGCAATGAATTTAAATTCAAACTTCTGCACAGTAGTCAAGTTTCTACACACACTCAAATATCCCTCTCCATGATCCATCCAGGCAAGAGGTGCCATCAGCGTTCAAGGATACATATCAGCAAGTCAAAAACACTCAAGGGAGGTGTGAAACTACTAGTGAGGGGTGTAGCCTGAGGAGAGGGGCAGTGGCCCTATTAGTTTTCTGGTTTACATGCATAATTGTTTTTGTTTGTGACCCAGAAAAGCCATTTCCGGTTCAGGGATGAAACGTCATTGAAGCTAAGCAGGTCTGGTCTGGTCATTGCCTGAATGGAAGACTACCTAGAAACTCAATGACTGTGTTCAGATGTAACATAAAACCACAGTTTAGCATTCAAAGAAGTAGCCTAGCCTTTTCCTAGGCTCATGTGCTTCCCCCCTCCTCTTTCTGGCACTCTTGCAAGGAGGAGATCTAAAACTTACGGTATGCTTCTGGTTTAGATTGACCACAGTTTAGCGTGTCGTTCAGAGCCTAAACTGTGGTTAATCTTAACTATGGCTGGTGAAAACAAGCCAACTTCAGAAATTATGGCTTGAAGTTGGCTTGTTTCCACTAGTCATAGTTAAGATTAACTTGTTTGTTCAGGTTTGGATGACATGACAAGCTACAGTCGATCAAACATGGAAGATGAAGCGCCTTTACTTCTCCTTGCAGCCACACTGGAGGAAAAGGTAGTAGAAGTCACCCCCAGAAGTGTCTTGATGGGTGTGGCAAAGCTGCTGTGCCAGCTCCCCAGCTGGTGGGTCCCTGTTGCCTCCCGGGAGGAGGAGAGACGAGGCAGTAAGGGGGTTAGCATGAATCAGGCATACTTGCACAAGCACTGGATTGCCTCTGCTGGTATGTTTCCATCCCCCCAACCACCCCACTGCCTCACCCTTCTTCCACTTGGTAAACAGCAGTGACCAACCTGCTGGGCAGTGAATGTAGTTCTCCATTTAGCAAGCTGCTTCTGGCCGCCTCTAGTAGTCTTATTTGATAAAAGCAGTATATGAATGTAACAAATAAAATCCCTAGACCATAGGGGCAGAATCCAGCCAAATGAAGGTCTTTGAAAGTTCCAGCTGAAATCAGTGCTTAATGTTGGCTGAATCAGAACCTCAATGTCATTGATATGCAAGCTACTATCAAACCTTGTATGGAAGAGCTGTAAACAAGATGTACGTTTCTTTTACCTCTTTTGAAGCCCTGTAGGATAACAGCAGTGAAGCTCTCAGGACCCAGGCAGCCGCTGGATAAGTCAAACAGTATTTTAAATACCAGAACACGGAGCTTTTCAGGAAGAGATGACAGAAGCATATGTTAGGGGGTGCCCTGGGACTTCCATAAAACATCAATGAACACCGGGTTTGAATATATTTTGTACTGCTCATTTTATTGACAGGCTGTCATAACCAAGCAAGAGAAAAACATAAAACCATAAACCACAACAGCAAACCGAAATAAATTGCTGCCAGGCTACTAGGTCAATACTAGTCTCGCAGTGTTCGGCTAATACACACACTTGGCTCTTATAATGATGGAGAAAGTACTCTAATTCAGAGTGGTGGCTTGGTGGGGTGGGAACTGATTCACACAGGCAACGTATCCTACTTCTGAATAGCCACAGTCTATCTGTCCCTGGGTGCAATTGCATAGGCAAACTTTAATGGGACTATGTCCAGGTAGCATGTCAATCACGTGCAAACACCTGTACACGTTTCACAAAAGGACACGTGATCACCAAGGTCTTGGGCCTTGTAGTGTCCCATGGGGACTTTGCCTTGCAGACCACTTACGGGGAAATCAAGGTCTGATTTTATTACAGAACTGCAAAATGATCAGTATGTTTAAATATGCATGGAAAGGCTATTCTGGCATCACCCTGCCTGGACCAGTTGTATGGGGAAGGAGGGAGACAGAGAAGAACAGGCAGAGCTAGAGGGAACTACTTTTAGATGAGACCAAAGACCCATCTAGTCCAGTATCCTGCTCTTGTAGTGGCTGCCGACAAACAGGATATGAGCACAATAGCCTCTCCCCACTTGTGATTTCTGGAAACTGGTATCCAAAGACATACCGCCTCCAATAGTGGAGATAGAAGACAGCCATCATGACTGATAGCCCTATCTTCCCTCTTGAACTTGCCTAACCCTCTTTTAAAGACATCCAAGTTGGTGGCCATCAGTACATCTTGTGGGAACGAATTCTACAGTGTGCTGCATGAAGAAGTGCTTTATTTTGTCTGTCACGAATCTTCCAGTATCCGGCTTCATTGGATGTTGCCAAGTTCTTGGTATTGTGAGAGAGGGAAATGTCTCCCTATCTGCTTTCTCCATGCCGTGCTTAATTTTGTGCCGCTCTCTCGCGTCTCCCTTACTCGCTTTGTTTCTCAGATTAAGAGCCCCAAATGTTGTAACCTTTCCTCACAGGGGAGCTGCTCCAATCCCTTGATCATTTTGGTTGCCCTTTTCTGAATCCTTTCCAGCTCTGCAGATAAGGGAAAGAGGAGGTGAGCTAGAGATCTGGCAGGCTTCTGTGGAGAGGTTCGTTTGACAACAATGGGAAATTGAGTCTTCAGGGTCGTTGGCCCAGTCCTGTGGGACACCCTGCCAATCGCGATTTAGCGGGCGCCTTCTGTGCCAATGTTTAAATGCCCACTGAAAACTTTTCTTTTCTGCCAGGTGTAGGCAGGCAATTAAGAGTACATCCCACACAATGGGGTGTGTGGGTATGTTTGTTTTCAATTTCTTTTTGCTTTTAACTAGTTTTTAACTTTCTGTGATTTTTTTGTTTGGTTTTATGTTTTTATATTGTTGTAAACCACTGTGATACGTCTTTATGCTGCAGTAGTATATAAATATTTTTATAAATAAATAAAACAAATAAGCCTAGTTGCAATGAGGACAGTGAGGGATGAAAGCTGTGTGAGTGTCTGGAGGCGGTTGGAGGATGGATGGTGGCTTACAGATTGAGGTTGAATCCTGACAAGACAGAAGTACTGTTTTGGGGGGACAGGGGGCGGGTGAGTGTGGAGGACTCCCTGGTCCTGAATGGGGTAACTGTGCCCCTGAAGGACCAAGTGTGAAGCCTGAGAGTCATTTTGGACTCACAGCTGTCCATGGAGCTGCAGATCAATTCTGTGTCCAGGGCAGCTGTATGCCAGCTCCATCTGGTATGCAGGATGGGACCCTACCTGCCCGCGGACTCTCTTGCCAGAGTGGTGCATGCTCTGGTTATCTCCTGCTTGGACTACTGCAATGCACTTTATGTGGGGCTAATCCAGAATGCGGCAGCTAGACTGGTGACTGGGAGTGGCCGAGACCATTTAACTCCAGTCCTGAAAGACCTACATTGGCTCCCAGTATGTTTCCGAGCTCAATTCAAAGTGTTGGTGCTGAGCTTTAAAGCCCTAAACGGCCTCAGCCCAGTATACCTGAAGGAGCATCTCCACCCCCATTGTTCAGCCTGAACTCTTAGGTCCAGCTCCGAGGGCATTCTGGTGGTTCCCTCATTGCAAGAAGCAAAGTTACAGGGAGGGCCTTCTCGGTAGTGGCATCCGCCCTGTGGAATGCCCTCCCATCAGATGTCAAGGAAATAA